AAGAGTGCAAAAATCGAAGCAATGGACCCCAAGTCTTTGCTGGGAGCCGTTCTGGATTTTAGGGAGGCTGACACCAGCAGTCTGTGTCCTGCGCCTTGGAAACTGACATCTTCTGTGCATTTTGCAAGAGATCCTGGGACACAGGTTTGCAGGGCACAGGGTGGCAAAGCACCTGGGCCTGCCTTGGCCGTGAAAATGCGCCTGTTTCTCCCAGCACGGAACAACACCCCGCTGAGTTAAAAGGCATTACACTGCACACCTCTCTAATGAGGCTTTGCTGATTCGCAATCCCCTTTGGAGGCCAGTCTGCGAATTAGCGAGAAAAAGATCCATTTAATTTTGCCTAATTTACCCCCTCCCTCGCCCCCACCCCTTTGTTGTGAGTCAAATCTGCGTTAATCTCTCCCTGCCTCCTTTTCTGAAAGGGAATGCGGTTCGCTGGGTAAGGCATTCTCTTTCCGCTGGACAATGCTGTACGGCTTGGTAATTCTCCTTTATCCAGTACATTTCCGAGCACAATTCAAAGTGTTGGTGCTGACCTTGAAAGCCCTAAATGGCCTTGGTCCTGTATACCTGAAGGAGAGTCTCCACCTCAATTGTTCAGCCCAGAGACCGAGATCCAGCTCCGAGGGCCTTCTGGCGGTTCACTCGCTGCGAGAAGCCAAGTTATAGGGAACCAGACAGAGGGCCTTCTTGGAGGTGGCACCTGCCCTGTGGAACACCCTCCCTTCAGGTGTAAAGGAAATAAGCAGCTATCTTAAATTTCAAAGACATCCGAAGGGAAGTTTTTAATATTTAATGCTGTATTGTTTTTAACACTCGATTGGGAGCCGCCCAGAGTGGCTGGGGAAACTCAGCCAGATGGGTGGGGTATAAATAATAAATAATAATAATAATAATAATAATAATAATAATAATAATTAATCCATAAACCCCGGGAGCTGTGTCTTCTGGGCTGCAGGAGCAAATCTTGATAGAAGCTGCAGCCCTGGCAGCTTGCAACCACTCCCAAAAAACATCAAGAAGAAAAGTGTGTGGCAGGGGGTGAGGAGCCGTAGAACTGCCGGCTGATTGTGGCTGCAAATTCTTATCTGGCCCCTGGGACGCCCCTTCCCTAACCACACCCCACCAGCCCTGCTCTGCACCCACCTTGATTGGTTTTGCCTGGCTGGAATTTGTCCATGACCTCTGAGAATGCCTCTTCATTATTTACTCAGTTAAGAGTATTGTACTTTTTCCCCCCTCCACAGTTAAGTGTTTCTCTCTGTGTGCAAACTAGGTAAACTTCGCATCAGTTTCTCCACCCACTTTGACCTCTGACCTGGTGTTATGTAGTGAGTTGAATAGGATCCAAAAGGCACCAGTTTGATTGGTCCTAGAACAATAGGGTCCAGAATGCAGCAGTCTGATTGGTCCACAGGAGCCACCCAATCCAGCTCCAGGTGAAAGTGAATCCGCAACCTGATTGGCCTACAGGAGAATTCCGGAATAAGCCAATCACGTGGGGCCCATTGTGTAAATAATGTATATAAAGCAGACATTCTGGGGGAACTTCCATTCCTCGCTACTATGAGCTGAATAAAGAGCATGAAATCAACTCTCGACTCCGAGTATATTTCACCTGGCATGTGGCCCCTGGAATTTTCTCCAGAATAGAACGTGGCCCCCTGTTGAAAAGGGTTCTCGTCCCTGGTTGGTCTACAGCCGTGCTGCTGGCTGGGGCATCATGGGAACTGTAGTCCAGAACTGGGCTCAAGTGGTGAAAGGCACCAGCATGGCCGTTGGAGAGAGGAATGATGGGAATTGTAGTCTAACAGCATCTGGTGGGCCACAGGTTCCCCATCCCATAATCTACAGAGGCCCTCTTCTGAGTATTACCACCACCTGACGAATGCTCTGCCGAGAGAGACTCTCCTGGTGCCTATTTTAACACATTTTCAGTGCCAAGCGAATACTTGGTGAAATAAATCACCCGAGGCCTTTTAAGAACTTTGAACACCAGGTTTAGTTATTTATTTAGCATGATATTGTTTTGTTCTCTGCACATTGATGGTGATTGGTCGGTTTCCAGCTATTCTGGGGTGCGTGTGGCTGCGCTCTGCTGATGGGTTCGCAGAATCGGTTGCTGATGGGCTGGGAGTCCCAGGTGTTTGTTGCATGTTGGGCTAGATATTTTATTGCTGAATTCTTCCTGGCTTGGATTTTATTGGTTTTCTTGTTTGAGTTGCCGACTTCATTGCGTGTTTAATTTTGTTCCACGCTATCATTGCCTGTCGCCGAGAATATATATCTTTTCTTTATTTATTGGGTGACTAATAAAATGGGAGTAGCAAGGAAATATATAAAATTTCACGGCTTGTGCCGGTGCTCGATGGATCTCGCATCCCCTGGATATATCCTGTCTGTTTAAAAGGCCAGCCTGATCCTTCTGTGTTTAGAACGGCTTTATAGAATCAGATAATTGTACGTATGGAAGGGACCCTTCCATCTACACATTTAAAGCACATTCAAATAATTCTGGGAACTGTAGTATCGCCGAAGAATTGATGCTTTTGAATTCTGGTGCTGGAGGAGACTCTTGAGAGTCCCATGGACTGCAAGAAGATCAAACCTCTCCATTCTGAAGGAAATCAGCCCTGAGTGCTCACTGGAAGGACAGATCCTGAAGCTGAGGCTCCAAGACTTTGGCCACCTCATGAGAAGAGAAGACTCCCTGGAAAAGACCCTGATGTTGGGAAAGATGGAGGGCACAAGGAGAAGGGGACGACAGAAGACGAGATGGTGGGACAGTGTTCTCGAAGCTACCAGCATGAGTCTGACCAAACTGCGGGAGGCAGTGGAAGACAGGAGGGCCTGGCGTGCTCTGGTCCAGGGGGTCACGAAGAGTCGGACACGACTAAACGACTAAACAACAAATGATTCCCCAGCACCCTCAACAAACTACAGTTCCCAGGATTCTTTTGGGGTGGGGGGAAAGCGTGCTTTAAATGCTTGGCGAGAGAAAGAAAAGCAAAGCCAACGGTGCTGTGGAGTCCCCCAGAAAGGGGGTCCCCCTAATTGAGCCAGGATTCCCTGGTCAGGCAGGGCTCACTCGCCGCAGAGCTGTTTCTCCTTCAGATGCTAATCGTGATGGATTTTCCAGGTTCCTCGCTCTTCTCTTCTGGCAGTGCCGGGAGTGATTCTCTTGTCAGATCGATGCTTCGTTCTACATACGTGACGAGCAGGTTCATTAGGGCAGGATTCACCCTGCTGGCCATGTAGCAGCAGAAGATGGTGAAGGAAGAGAAGATGCAGGGAATCCCACTGTCAAAGGCAGGGGCTTGGGAGAGGCATCCGTCTGAAAATGAGGAAGCCCACCAGGACACAAGCTTGTGGTGGGGAGAGCTGAGCACTTTGGACTGAATTGCAAATTGGGCACTCTGATTCTAGTACTATTGGTGCCACTAGTGATAATAACGCTTAGCATCTATTTGGTTAGCAATGTCTAGGCAACACGATGACCACATGTGCATAAGCAATAGACAATCTTTATAGAATTCCTTCAAACCATAACAAGTACAAAACGAAATCTTTCGTTTCAAAGTCTCTGAAAATCTTTAAATGAAGCGAGGGACCAGACTTTGTAGGATGAAAGACAAGCTGTGAAGCTTTGTGTATTCGGCAAATATGATGTCCAGCGCTGAACAGTGACTACTGTTTCGTAGAATTCTTCGTCAGCGTGGTGGGAGGATGCAGAATTGCTTCATAAACCCATCTTATTTCGAATGAGTGTATGTAAATGAAAATATTGAATGCTGTGGAACAGTGCTCATGTAATAATGTAGTCACTGCATATATTTGGAGCATTAGCAGACTGACCCAAGTATCCCTTTTTTCCAGGGACAGCTCTGGGTTTACAGAAGCTGTCCTGGTTTCTGATCCAATCCCGGAATGTCCCGCTTTTCCTTAGGATGTCCCTATTTTCACTGGAGAAATACTGGAGGGTATATGGCAGGACGTTGGAGGGTATGGAGTTTTCTGACCCCCAAGCCATCTGAAGGCAACCCTGCCTAGGGAAGTGGTTTTAAAAATGTTTTATTATGATATTTTTATATATGTTGGGAGCTGGCCAGATGGGTGGGGTATAAACAGTGAAATCATTATGATTATGGAATAAAGGTAAAGGGACCCCTGACCATTAGGTCCAGTCGTGACGGACTCTGGGGTTGCGGCGCTCATTTCGCTTTATTGGCTGAGGGAGCCGGCGTACAGCTTCCGGGTCATTTGGCCAGCAGGACTAAGCTGCTTCTGGCGAACCAGAGCAGTGCACAGAAACGCCATTTACCTTCCCGCTGGAGCGGTACCTATTTATCTACTTGCACTTTGACGTGCTTTTGAACTGCTAGGTTGGCAGGAGCAGGGACCAAGCAATGGGAGCTCACCCCGTCGCGGGGATTCGAACCGCTGACCTTCCGATCGGCAAGTCCTAGGCTCTGTGGTTTAACCCAGAGCGCCACCTGCATCCCTTCGATTATGGAATAGGACACCCCTATTTTCACTGGAGAAATGTTGTGGGGGTGGGTGTATGTATTAGGAAGACGAAAGCAAGCAGGCAGAGAGGAAAATAGGGAGAGGTTGATGGGGCTGCCTTGATAGTGGATCCCATTTAGAATAGAAAATAACTCCAATATTTGCCACCCCGGCTGGCAGTGGATCTCCAGAGAGATCGCAGAGACCCAGTCTTATCTGATGGAGATCAAACATGGTAGCTTTTGCATGCAGATCACATGCTCTCCACATGGTGTTTGGCACAAACTCCGAGTTTGCCCTGCAAGGAGTATTTCCCTAAAGAACTTACTGTTTATTTATGTAAGGCTTTTAGATATGTTGCATTTGCTAGCAGCGTGCACACACAACACACACACACACACACACACACACACACACACACACACACACATACACAGTGCTATGAACTGGCAAGGACTTAGAGCAGGGGTGAGCAAACTTTTTCACCACTGTCCCTCAGACTATATATATATATATATATATATATATATATATATATATATATATTGGGGGGGGGAATGAACGAATTCCTATGCCCCCCAAACAATCCAGAGATGCATTTTAAATAAAAGCACACATTCTGCTCATGTAAAAATGCCAGGCAGGCCCCACAAATAACCCAGAGATGCATTTTAAATAAAAGCATACATTCTGCTCATGTAAAAACGCCAGGCAGGCCCCACAAATAACCCAGAGATGCATTTTAAATAAAAGGACATATTCTACTCATGTAATAACACGCTGATTCCCAGACCGACCGCAGGCTGGATTGAGAAGGCGTTTGGGTTGTATCTGGCCCCCGGGCCTTAGTTTGCCTACCCATGAGGGACAAATTTGACATCTTGTTCTAGTAAATCACAGGACCACTTAATACCTTCCAAGTACCCCTGTTTTCCAGGGACAGTCCCGGAATTACAGAAGCCGTTCCAGTCTCTGAACTGAACCTGGAATGTCCCGCTTTCCCTCTCTTCTTCGTCTCGGAGAACAATTAAAAGTGGTTTCTGTGTCTGTGTGTGTATTCAGTGGCGCTTACTCCCAGGTAACTGGGTGAAGACTGTGCAGCCTTACACTGCAATACTAAGCATTTTTACTCAGAACTGAGTCCCACTGAGTTGAATAGGATTTACTCTCTGGTTTGTACCAGATCATTCTCACACTTTCTGTTGTTGTTGTTGTTGTTGTTGTTACATCCTGCCTTTTCCCCTGGCAGGGACTCAAGGCAGCTTACCACTAAAATCTTATTCCATCCCACTTATCTGTTGAAGGCGTTGCACATGATGCCTTCCCTTGCACAAATTTTCTTTACGACAACTCTGCGAGGTAGGTTTGGCAGAGAGGTTGTGATTGGCTCAAGGTGTATATATATCTATGTGTGCCGCGAGATCAAATGTGGAGAAGTTTCCTGATGTAGAATAGAATGTCCCTATTTTCATCGGAGAAATCTTGGAGGGTATCCCACTTTGCCATGGAAAAATGCACAGTTCCGATAAAGATGACTAGCCCTCCACCATAAAGGCAGGATCTTTCCTTCGCCCTGGCACAATCACTTTGCAAATTCGCACTTTTTATTTTAGCTCTGTCAGCATCTATTTAGAAAAACTGAATTAAACGTACAGGTATATCTATCTTAAAGTTTTTTTAAAACAACAACAACAGGCAAACAGTGATGGCTCTGACCTGGTGGAATGCTCTGTCCCATGAGACCAGGGCCCTGCAGGATTTAATTTCCTTCCGCAGGACCTGTCAGACAGAGCTATTCCGCCTGGCTTTCAATTTGCACTTAGCCTGATCTTTTATTCTCCTTCCTCCCCTCCCCTCCCCTTTTTATGAAGATTACCCGCTCTGGGATCCCACAGCTAATTCTCCCCTGGTCTCCTTGCCGGCCCAAATAGGACTAATTTAGCCAGCTAGCCCTGGTGATCATCTAATGTTTATTGGATGGATTTCCCCCCGAAATTGATTTTTTTAATTCTGAATTTATTGTTATTCATGTTTTATACGGTATTTTATGCTGTTTTTGTTGCATCAATCACGTGTTTTAAATTTGTTGTTAGCCGCCCTGAGCCAGGTTTTCTGAACTGAGAAGGGCGGGGTATAAATAAATAAATAAATAAATAAATAAATAAATTAAAATTGATGGAGAATAGCCATGGCAGCTAAAGGAGAAGCTTCCATGTCCCAAGGCAGTATACCTCTAAATTGTGCATACAGGAGAGTATTTTCCTTCCTCACCTCATTGAAGAGGGAATCTAGCCATCTGCGGCTGAAACTGCGCTGTTCTTAGGAACCGGCAGAGTATACCCCTGGGAAAGCCCTCTTCGTGGAAAATTAAAACATGACACCAGCAGATTGTGCACCGTTTCTTTGTGCTAATATGAAAATCCCTTAGCTGGAGAGCACCTGGTGGCAATATATATATATATATATATATATATATGGTGTGTACTGGGGAGAATACGCAGCGCAGAGGTTGCTTTGCAAACCAGGGAAATGCGCTATGCATTTAAAGCAGTGTCACGCCACTTTAAACAGTCACGGCTCCTCCCCAAGAATTCTGGGAACTGAAGTTGGTTAAGGATGCTGAGAGTTGTTCGGTAGACCCAATGAGGGAGCTACAGTTCCCCCAGGTGCTTTTAACAAGCTATCCTTCTCCCCAGGGAACTCTGGGAACGATAGCTCTGTGAGTGAAGCAGAGGGTCTCTTAAATAACTCTCAGCACCTTTAACAAACCTAATAACAACAACAATAATAATTTATTATTTATACCCCGCCCATCTGGCTGGGCTTCCCCAGCCACTCTGGGCGGCTTCCAACAAAATATTAAAATACAATAGTCCGTCAAACATTAAAAGCTTCCCTGAACAGGGCTGCCTTCAGATGTCTTCTAAAAGACTGGTAGTTGTTGTTCACTTTGACATCTGGTGGGAGGGCTTTCCACAGGGTGGGTGCCACTACCGAGAAGGCCCTCTGCTTGGTTTCCTGTAGCTTTGCTTCTCGCAATGAGGGAACCGCCAGAAGGCCCTCAGTGCTGGACCTCAGTGTCCAGGTAGAACGATGGGGGTGGAGACGCTTCTTCAGGTATACTGGGCCTTTGAGGCTGTTTAGGGCTTTAAAGGTCAGCACCAACACTTTGAATTGTGCTTGGAAACGTACTGGGAGCCAATGTAGGTCTTTCAAGACCGGTGTTATATGGTCTCAGTGGCCGCTCCCAATCTAGCTGCTGCATTCTGGATTAGTTGTCATTCCTGGGTCACCTTCAAAGGTAGCCCCACATAGAGCGCACTGCAGTAGTCCAAGCGGGAGATAACCAGAGCATGCATTCTTTTTTGGGGGGGGGCATGCAATGTTGCTTATACTCAAGACTGGTCACATAAAGTGTATGGGTGCATTGGCCAGTCAGCCTAGACAGTACTGAGCTCAATCAACCAGTGGCCTGACTCCATCTAAAGCAGCTTTCTATGGACTTTGTCCCACAAGAGTTCATGAGGGCTGCCAACTTGGATGGTTTTAAAAGAGGATTAGACAAACTCGCGGAGGAAGCTATCAGGATGGCTATTTCTTACTGTTTTTTAATTTTTGTTTTTGTTGGAAGCTATCCAGAGTGGCTGGGGAAACCCAGTCAGATGGGCGGGGTCTTCTTCTTCTTCTTCTTCTTCTTCTTCTTCTTCTTCTTCTTCTTCTTCTTCTTCCACCTTTGGACGCTGTATGCCTGTGTATCATGGTGGTGAGAATGCTGTTGAGCTTATCAGGTCTCTTCTTACATCCTAGCACAGGGCTGACCCAAGATATTTTGCTGCCTGAGGTGAAAGACAAAATGGCCTTGACAGATTAGAGAACTGGGCCAAAACAAACAAGATGAATTTGAACAGGGAGAAATGTAAAGTATTGCACTTGGGCAAAAAAAATGAGAGGCACAAATACAAGATGGGTGACACCTGGCTTGAGAGCAGTACATGTGAAAAGGATCTAGGAGTCTTGGTTGACCACAAACTTGACATGAGCCAACAGTGTGACGCGGCAGCTAAAAAGCCAATGCAATTCTGGGCTGCATCAATAGGAGTATAGCATCTAGATCAAGGGAAGTAATAGTGCCACTGTATTCTGCTCTGGTCAGACCTCACCTGGAGTACTGTGTCCAGTTCTGGGCACCACAGTTCAAGAAGGACACTGACAAACTGGAACGTGTCCAGAGGAGGGCAACCAAAATGGTCCAAGGCCTGGAAACGATGCCTTATGAGGAACGGCTAAGAGAGCTGGGCATGTTTAGCCTGGAGAAGAGGAGGTTAAGGGGTGATATGATAGCCATGTTCAAATATATAAAAGGATGTCACATAGAGGAGGGAGAAAGGTTGTTTTCTGCTGCTCCAGAGAAGCGGACACGGAGCAATGGATCCAAACTACAAGAAAGAAGATTCCACCTAAACATTAGGAAGAACTTCCTGACAGTAAGAGCTGTTTGACAGTGGAATTTGCTGCCAAGGAGTGTGGTGGAGTCTCCTTCTTTGGAGGTCTTTAAGCAGAGGCTTGACAACCATATGTCAGGAGTGCTCTGATGGTGTTTCCTGCTTGGCAGGGGGTTGGACTCGATGGCCCTTGTGGTCTCTTCCAACTCTATGATTCTATGATTTTCACCTACAGAATCTTAGCTCAGTAGCAGCTGAATCTCTCTTGAGTGCTGGTGATGGGACCTCATTCTGTACCCTACCTGAGGTCGGCAAGCTAATTTAGGGGGCTCAGGACAGGCCATGTGGCACTCCCAGTTCTGTCCACACAGCAACACCCTGCCACCACCCAGTGGCATCTGCCGCCCGAGGCTGCTGCCTCATTCTGCCTCCTGCTAGGGCTGGTTTAGCTCAGTGGCGCCTTTAAGACCAACCATATTTCTCAGGTCAGGAGTCTGCTTAGCTGAGAGCCGACGCTGTGATGGGTGGCCTCCGCCGGGAAACAATGCGTAAAACAATTAACTAAGGCTGTCAAACAGGGGTTTTCTTTTAATAGATTAACTGCCTGGCTTTTAATTGATCAATTATTAAAATTAAATAAATGTCCATGATGGGAAACATCAATGAAGATGCCTCCTTGCAGCTCCTGGAGGGGACGACGAAGAGCTTGTCTTAGGGCTATATCATCTATTAAGTGTTTTTTAGGTGGCTTGAAAACATCTTGGGGGTGTTTTTTCTAAGTGCGGACAAATATTTTATTTTCCCCTTAAGTGTACACCTTGCTGACAAAGGTCCATATAGTTACAGCTATGGTTTCCCCAGAAGTGATGTATGGAAGTGAGAGCTGGACCATAAAGACGGCTGATCGCCGAAGAATGGATGCTTTTGAATTCTGGTGCTGGAGGAGACTCTTGAGAGTCCCATGGACTGCAGGAAGATCAAATCTATCCATTCTTAGGGAAATCAGCCCTGAGTGCTCACTGGAAGGACAGATCCTGAAGCTGAGGCTCCAAGACTTTGGCCACCTCATGAGAAGAGAAGACTCCCTGGAAAAGACCCTGATGTTGGGAAAGATGGAGGGCACAAGGAGAAGGGGACGACAGAGGACGAGATAGCTGGACAGTGTTCTCAAAGCTACCAGCATGAGTTTGACCAAACTGCGGGAGGCAGTGGAAGACAGGAGTGCCTGGTGTGCTCTGGTCCATGGGGTCACGAAGAGTCGGACACGACTAAACGGCTAAACAACAACAACATAAACCAGCAGACTATAAAACTGTTTGGGATGTCAATCCAGCGATGAACTAAGACCCTTAGGCTCATTGGAATAAAGCAGTTGAATTGCCCAGATTAATTGATTGAACCGTGAAGCCCCAGAATAATACATTAAAAGCATTCGGCTTCAAACAATGTGTGATATCCAGCTAAGCCATACTCAGAGAAGACCCAGTGAAGCCAATAGACTTGACTTACTTCAGTGGTCTGAGTACGACTATCATTGCGTATCGCCTTAGATCTGCAGACTTTACTTGGGGAATGACAAAAAGCTTCCAGCGGTAGATTTCCCAGCTGACTGTTTCGTAACTGTGGATTAGTTTGTGAGGGCTGGTTGTCATCAAGTGGAACTTAAACCTAGGGCACACCGGGGACAAAACACCACTTTGCTTCTGGTGTGTTACTGTAATGAGCATCAAAAATATTAAAACAGGGCCTTGCTACGCACTCGTGTTTTGCTTCCTCCCCTGAAATCAGAAGTTCTTTCGCTCACACGGCGAAACGCGAGGAAAGGTAGCGTGTGGTAGCTGCAGTAGATGGATGAGAGGAGGAGCCCATTAAAAAAAAAAAAAGATTAGAACTGTTCTGGAATTTTCCACAGTGACTAGTTGCTCAACTTCATGCCAAGGGAGTTTGCTTAGGGCAGGAAGTAGAGTGTGATTGCTTAGGGCAGGAAGTAGAGTGTGATTGGTCCCCCAGAACCACCTGAAGGTTCAGGCCAGAGGTACCAAACGAGGCACCTAAAAAGCCCCAAATGCTGTAACTTTTCTTCGCAAGGGTGTTTCTCCAGCCCTTTGATCATACAATACAATACAATAATCTTTATTGTCATTGTCCCATACAGAACAACGAAACTGAAAAAATCTACTTCAGACATTCAAAAACCATCAAGCCTGCTATCCCAGCCTGGTTAACCCCCTAAAAAACTCTGATACCCCATAATTAAATACAATATACTCCAATAGAGACTACCTTACACTGCGTTTGAAACCAAAATCACATTTGGATAGAAACTGTTTCTCAGGCAGCTAGTCCTAGTCTTTATAATGGGTAGGCAAACTATGGCCTGGGCTCTAGATCCGGCCCAATAGCCTTCCCAATCCGGCCCGTGGACAGTCTGGGAATCAGCGTGTTTTTACATGAGTAGAATGTGCGCTTTTATTTAAAATACATCTCTGGGTTATTTGTGGGGCATAGGAATTCATTCATTATTGTTTTCAAAATATAGTCTGGTCCCCCACAAGGTCTGAGGGACAGTGGACCGGCCCCCTGCTGAAAATGTTTGCTGACCCTTGCGTTTGACCATTTTTGTTGCCCTTTTCCAACTCTTCGGTACCTGTTTTGAGGTGAGGCAACCAGAACTGTGTTCCAAATGCGGTCGCACCATAGATCTATATAATGGCATTATGGTGTCGGACGTTTTGTTTCCAGTTCCTTTCCCCAATGATCCATAGTATGGAATTTGCCTTTCCTCCCCCAGAGCTGCTGCACGCTGGATCAGCACCAGGCAAGTTGCTCTGCCAACCCCACCTGGAGGTATACTTGGGCCTTCTGCATGCCAAGCAAGTGTCCTGTCGCTGGGCTGTGGCCCTCCTCCCTGGCCCCACCAGAAGGAGGAGACGCTGTCCTGCTCACTCTGAACTACAGCACCACCAGTGGAGCTGGCCAGTGGGTGGTACTGCACCATGGAGTGCAAAGCTGTCAGGTGACAGAGGTGAGCCAATCGGATTCTGCCTGTCTCTATAAAGCCTCTGATTTTAACACAGCTGCTCAGTGTGAGCAATTTGTTTTCCTTCAGAGGAAGCGGGAGGCTGGGCTGATCTCCCCTTCCCACATCCGATTGTCCTGCCTCCACTTTAGCGGCACGGAAAGGCGTCTGGCGGGTTGCCCAGGGACCTTCCCCGAGCCCTTTCTCCAAGTCGGCCTCTGCTGCAGCGAAAACATCGCAACGCAACCATCTGGGTTCCTGCTGCTGAACAAACCATGCTTTTGTGTATATGTGTGTGTGTGTGTTAGTCACAAAGGCAGCTTAAAGCAGCTATTAAGGAGCGCCAAACCCTCAATCGGAAAAGGGGGAGAGATCTTAATAGAGCCCCATTGTTGTCCTCTGCTAGAATGAGCCTCCCGGATACAATAATTGGTGTTTCGCCCAGATACAGTTAATGAGGCTATTACGTTAATTACAGGAATGTTTGCCTTGGAAGTAGAGCCCTGGTTTCCCTCTTCTTGGGAGCATGTCAGCACTGGAGATCACAGAATTGTAGAGTTGGAAAAGACCACAAAGGCCATCTAGTCCAACCCTCTGCAATGCAGGAATCTTTTGCCCAACGGGGGTTTAGAACCCGTGACCTTGAGATTAAGAGTCCCGTGCTGTACCAGCTGAGCCATCCCAGCTGCCTACCGTATTTTTCGCCCCATAGGGTGCACCGGCCCATAGGGCGCACCTAGTTTTTTTGGGGGGAAATAATTTTTTTTATTTCCCCCCCCCAGGCACGGGGCTGGGGCGGGGGAAGCCTGAGCTTCCCCCGACCCCAGCCCCCAGAACAGGCTGCTATCTGCAACCCTTGGGAGCCTGGCGCGACTTCCCGCTGGGCTCCCACGGCTTGCGGAGAGCTGCCCAAAGCCCGGGGCGCGCTCTGCTGCGCTCCCCAGGTTTCAGGCTGCAGGCTGCTGTCCGCAAGCCTTGGGAGCCCGGCGGGAACTCCCGCGGGCTCCCAAAGCTTGCGGATAGCTTCCTGACCCCTCTCGCTCTCCAGGCTTCAGCGAAAGTCTGCATTCGCCCCATAGGACGCACACACATTTCCCCTTCATTTTTGGAGGGGAAAAAGTGCGTCCTATAGGGCGAAAAATACGGTACTTGCTTTTCTTTCTTGGTCCTGGAGTGCTGGACAGCTCCAGAGGCCTTCCTGGAACTGCAGAACGCAAGTCGTTTCTGGGATGATCTGTAGCTATGAATCAGGCAGGAATCCTGAGGCTCATTCAGGTCTCGCTTTCCCGCTTTGCCGATTTATTAATTAAATTTCCACCCCACCTTTCCAAAGGAGCCCAGGAAGGCAAAGAACGAAGCATTAAGACGATACAATTAAAAAATAAAACAAAGCTGGGTTAGCTTGGATGGTAGAGCGTGAGACTCTTAATCTCAGGGCCCTGGGTTCGAGAACCATGTCAGGCAAAATATTCCTGCATTGCAGGGGGTTGGACTAGATGACCCTTGGGGTGGGGTCCCTCCCAATTCTATGAAAGCATGTTTAAAAACATATCCCCACAGCAAATGCCAGGGTTGCTGGGCACAGATAGCCTTTCCCAGCCACTAAATGCCCTGGTAAAAAGGATTGTTTTAAACTTCTTCCTGGATGTCAACAATGAGGGAGGTGGAGGCAGGATATTTCAGCCAAATTCCCACATTACAAAGGGGAAGAGATTCTCAAGTGGGGAATACCAGAGCATCTCTCTCAATGGGAAGTCTATGGGGTCCTCGCCACAGGATCACATTCACCCGGTGCTATACCAGCTGCACTGGCTCCCGGTGGAGTACAGGATCAGGTTCAAGGTGCTGGTTTTAACCTTTAAAGCCCTATACGGCCTAGGACCCTCGTACCTACGGGACCGCCTCTCCTGGTATGCCCCACGGAGGACCTTACGGTCTTCAAACAAAAACATCTTGGAGGTCCCGGGCCACAGAGAGGTTAGGCTGGCCTCAACCAGAGTTAGGGCTTTTTCGGCTGTGGCTCTGATCTGGTAGAACGCTCTGTCACAAGAGACTAGGGCCCTGCGGGACTTGACATCTTTCTGCAGGGCCTGCAAGACAGAGCTGTTCCACCAGGCCTTTGGCCAGGGCACAGCCTGACTCCCTCCTTCGGTAATCCTCATAGAACTCTAGCCCAATGGTTACCATTAATTTGATTCTGAATTGATTTTAGAATGTATTCTAATTAATTGGCTGTGATTTTATGTAAATGGTGCTATTTTTACTGTTGTTAGCCGCTCTGAGCCCAGCTTTTGTTGGGGAGGGTGGGATATAAATAAAAATTTTATTATAATTATTAGGAATATCAAGGTGGTGAAAAACACCAAGCGCAGCTCCATTGTAAGTCACAAGCTCATGGTCCAATAACAGGTGATACCAGATCCGAGTCCAGCAACATTTCACTGTGGAGACTTTCAGAAAAAGCTTTGTAAGGAAGGCCCATCACACTTCTGTTATGGATTATTTGTTTATTTAAAATATCTATTGTAAGCCGCCTTGCAGTGCAAAGCCCTTATTTCCTGTCCTTGGGCTTGCCGAACAGAAGGTCGGCAGTTCGAATCCCCGTGACGGGGTGAGCTCCTGTTGCTTGGTCCCAGCTCCTGCCAACCTAGCAGTTCAAAAGCATGCCAGTGCAAGTAGATAAATAGGTACTGCTGCAGCGGGAAGGTTAACAGCATTTCCATGCACTCTTGTTTCTGTTATGGTGTTCCGTTGCGCCAGAAGCAGTTTAGTCATGCTGGTCACATGACCCAGAAAGCTGTCGATGGACAGACACTGGCTCCCTTGGCCTGAAAACGAGATGAGCGCCGCAACCCCACAGTCACCTTTGAATGGACTTAACCGTCCAGGGGTCCTTTACCTTTTACCTTTACATAGTATAGCATCAAAATAACTATTTTTGGATATACAACTAGAAACAGTATCCAAGCCTCTCTTCAAGAGCTATTCTTCTGCATTTCTGCATGGTGCATTGTTGTGAACAGGGCTTTTCAACTCTGACAAATATGGAAGATCAGGAAAGAGAAAGGCTTTTTTGTGTTGATGAGGAGATGAGATTTTGTTTCAAATCAGACCTAATATAAATGAGATTACCCAGCAAAAGCAAGCTTGCGCCTCTCGTTCAATTTGTATACAGTCATACCTTGGGAGTGGTGCTGTGGGCTAAACCACAGAGCCTAGGACTTGCCAATCAGAAGGTCGGCGGTTTGAATCCCCACAACGGGATGAGCTCCCATTGCTTGGTCCCTGCTCCTGCCAACCTAGCAGTTCGAAAACACGTCAAAGTGCCAGTAGATAAATAGGTACCGCTCTGGCGGGAAGGTAAACGGTGTTTACGTGGCTGCTCTGGTTCGCCAGAAGCGGCTTAGTCATGCTGGCCACATGACCCGGAAACTGTACGCCGGCTCCCTCGGCCAATAAAGTGAGATGAGCGCCACAAACCCAGAGTCGGCCACGACTGGACCTAATGGTCAGGGGTCCTTTTACCTTTTTATACCCGGGTTACAGACGCTTCAGGTTGCGTTTTTTCGGGTTACAGACCCGCCGAAACCTGGAAGTACCGGAACGAGCTACTTCCGGGTTTTGGGGGTCGCGCATGCAAGAAGCACTAAATCACACTTTGTGCATGCGCAGAAGCGCCGAATCGCAACCCGTGCGTGCACAGACATGCCACTGCGGGTTGCGAACGTGCATCGCGCATGGATCATGTTCGCAACCTGAGCATCCACTGTACATGAGGAATGATTAGTGTTCTTAGGCAATTTAAAAAATGCTTTCTAGATGTCCTGTGATCATAGTATAAAGTAGTTGTGTTCTATGTTATAAATCGAGCACTGCTGGGAGTTGATTTTACTTGTTTTCACATTTCCTATTGATATATATATATATATATTGGTGTGGCATGGGAAAAATCTTTATTCTGAAACCGTGGCCCAGAGAGAGAAAGTTTGAGAACCACGGTGCTAAGGGAAAAGCTACCAGGAGCAGCCCCAAACTCCCACCTGGAAGCAGAGACTGGCCGCTCAGCTCTGAAACCATTCCCAGCAAGCTCATCCTCCAGAGCCAGACAGTCCCCGCAGCTTCTCCGTTCTGTATCCCCGAGTTTAGCATCCTTTTTATAGCCCGGTTGCTACGGGAACAGTGAGGTTGCTATGGGCGGAGGAGCGTGGCAACAACACTCGCAAGAGCTAGCCTTTGGAAGCAGGTGTGTGTCTAGTTCCACTTCCCTCCCTCTCTCTCCCTGTGCTAACTTTATAGATTGGGCACACACACATGCAGAGAGAGAGAGAGCTTCTTCAGGCGTAATTGCCTCTTGTAGCTCAATTTCCTCTTCATTGAATTTATCAGCAAATGGATCATTGTTAATTGCCCCATCAGAACTGTTGTCAAGGACAACCCTGGTTCTTTTCCCCCTCCTCCCTTCCCGCCCTTTTAAAGTAGAACGTAGGGAGCTGCCTCACAGCACGTCAGAATATTGGTGGCCCTCCATTGTTCCCTATCTGGCCCTTGGGATTCTCTGCAGGCCACGCCCATTCCTGGCATTGCTCCACCCCCTTTTGGCTACTTCTGCCTGGCTAAGGTAAAGGTAAAGGGACCCCTGACCATTAGGCCCAGTCGTGGCCGACTCTGGGGTTGCGGCACTCATCTTGCTTTATTGGCCGAGGGAGCCGGTGTACAGCTTCCGGGTCATGTGGCCAGCATGACTAAGCCGCTTCTGGCGAACCAGAGCAGCGCACGGAAACGCCGTTTACCTTCCCGCCGGAGCAGTACCTATTTATCTACTTGCACTTTGATGTGCTTTTGAACTGCTAGGTTGGCAGGAGCAGGGACTGAGCAACGGGAGCTCAACCCGTCACGGGGATTCGAACCGCCGACTTTCTGATTGGCAAGTCCTAGGCTCTGTGGCTTAACCCACAGCTCCACCCGTGTCCCTTTGCCTGGCTAGAAGGGGCTTTTTCAAGCAGCTTTGCTGCAGGAGGTTGACAGAGCCCTCCGTTCCACTTTAAACCCTCCCCACCCCGCATTGCAGCGGGGCTCGACTAGATGGCCCCTGGTGTCCCTCCAATCTGTGACATGCACAAAGCAAAAGTTCTGGCAAGCGTTTGGCTCCCTCCGGCGAAATACTGATGGTCCGGAGGCGCCCTGGATCATCTTGCGCTCCATCGTGGAAGGAAGGCGGGCTGTCAGTCAATCAATATGTCAAGCTGTCTGTGCCACAGGCTGGAGTCTCTTTGCTTCCAAACCATGGGCAGATTGTCGAGGTGGACTGCCGTGTCGCAGCTGTTGCAAAGCCTACGAAAAGGAACTACAGCGAACACTCTGAAAATACGCTGCTTTTGGGTGGCGATGGTGTTGGGGATTTAATCCTAAATAAATCGAACCACAGGCTTTTAAACCTGGCTTAACAACCTTGCAAGCCTCCGCCCTGAGATCTCTTCCTCTCCCCCCATTAAACTCTGAAATAAGACTCCTACAGTGGGGGGGGGGGGTTGGAGATGAAATTAAAATAGCTTCTGAAAGACTGAGAGGTTTTGCGTGATTAGCAAACCGAAGCAGTAGGTAACCGAGGAAGGGGTGTGTGGCTCAAATCAATCTTTCTCCCCCTTCTCCTTTTTATACACACAACCAATCAGCACCTTGTTAATTAATTAATTCCACGGTCGATTCGTAGACGGTTGCGCAAATCTTGAAAGAAAACGTGGCAATTGGAAAGCAAGGTGGAACAGAAGAGCGAGGAAGATTTCTTCGGCAATCCGAGGGGGTTGGACTTGGTCCTAATAGAGGCAGGTTCAAATCCCTCCTCCGCCGTGGTGTGACTGAGAGACTCTAGGGGACACTCTCTCCCTCCGCTGCCAAAGCATCCTCCTGTGTATTCATCATGACTCCCATAACAGCGTTGCATTTTATTGCATGGAAACACTGCCATGTTGGAAAATTTGTCAACAGAGCATTACAAGCGCCACTCGCTTAGCTCAAGCACAGCACCTGCCTGGCAGGCAGGATGTCAGGAGAGGGGCCCCATCTCAAATCCTGGAAAATTCAGTGTGGATGATGCTAAAGTAGCCACCCACTAACCCAGGGGTAGGCAACCTCAGGCCCGGGGGCAGCCCAGTCGCCTTCTCAATCCTGCCTGCGGACGGTCCAGGAATCAGCGTGTTTTTACATGAGTAGAATGTGTCCTTTTATTAATAATAATAATAATAATAATAATAATAATGTATTATTTATACCCTGCCCATCTGGCTGAGTTTCCTGAGCCACTCTGAGTGGCTCCCAATCGAGTGTTAAAAACAATACAGCATTAAATATTAAAAACTTCCCTAAACAGGGCTGCCTTCAGATGCCTTTTAAAAATAAGATAGCTGCTTATTTCCTTATCTCTGGGTTATTTGTGGGGCCTGCCTGGTGTTTTTACATGAGTAGAATGTGTGCTTTTATTTAAAATGCATCTCTGGGTTATTTGTGGGGCATAGGAATTTGTTCATCCCCCCCCCCTGAAAAAAAATATGGCCTGAGAAACAGTGGATGCTTTTGAATTCTGGTGCTGGAGGAGACTCTTGAGAGTCCCATGGACTGCAAGAAGATCAAACCAATCCATTTTAAGGAAATCAGCCCTGAGTGCTCACTGGAAGGACAGATCCTGAAGCTGAGGCTCCAAGACTTTGGCCGCCTCATGAGAAGAGAAGACTCCCTGGAAAAGACCCTGATGTTGGGAAAGATGGAGGGCACAAGGAGAAGGGGACGATAGAGGACGAGATGGTGGGACAGTGTTCTCGAAGCTACGAGCTTGAGTCTGACCAAACTGCGGGAGGCAGTGGAGGACAGGAGTGCCTGGCGTTCTCTGGTCCTGTCTGGCCTCTACTGTGTTCCCCAAACATGGCTCCTGTGGAAAACAATTGCTGCAGAGAAAGGAGCAATGCCCTGCCAGCCTTCTCTGTTCCTGCGAGGCAAGCAGCCTATGCACAAGATGACCCCATCTCTGGCTGGAAGAGGTGGAAATTGCTCTTTGGAAATCTGCTCTCGCTGAACTGGTGGCTCAGCTGCTAATGAAGCAGAAGGGATGGTTGGGTGGTGGTGGGGGGGGGAGAGAGGGGGGGGAGAGAAAGGGAAGGAGATCAGCTGTCCACCTCCTGAGATTGTTTCCCAAACAGCATCTGTGCTTGGAAGGTGGCTGAAAATCTCCGCTTTGCCGCTTCGACTTCATACAAAATTGGGTTCTCTGGTCCAATGGCTTTTTCAGCGGGTGGCTTTGGGGGGGGCAGTGGGTGGGTAAGAGGTGTTGCTGCTGAGATCGGCTGCTTTGCCTGCCTCTGAGCTGGGGGCGTCTTCATGGCTGCACAATTGGCAGCCAGACACTTTGATCGTGTGCCTCCCGCCACCTGCCGTACATTACCAGGGACATGGGAAATGTTGGCTGCTGTCAGGGCACCAGGAGGAAAGCGGGGGCACTGCTGCTGGTGGTGGTTTGACTCGTGGAAAGAATGCCCACTAGATGGGAGGAACTGGTGCTCAGAGCTCTGCTTGTTTGACCGAACTCTCTGCATTTCCGACATAGCGATGGGCACCAAATTGAATGGTTTAAAACAGGGGTCAGCAAACTTTTTCAGCAGGGGGCTGGTCCACTGTCCCTCAGACCTTGTGGGGGGCCGGACTATACAGTGGTACCTCTGGTTGCGAATGGGATCTGTTCCGGAGGCCTGTTCACAACATGAAAGAGCGCAACCCGCAGCGGCGCATGTGCGGGTTGCGATTTGCCGCTTCTGCGCACGCGCACAATGTTATTTTGCACTTCTGCGCATGTGCGAGCGGCGAAACCCGGAAGTAACCCTTTCCAGTATTTCCGGGTCGCCGCGGGATGTAACTTGAAAGAACGTAACATGAAGCGGACATAACATGAGGTATGACTGTATTTTGGAGAAAAAAATGAACAAATTCCTGTGCCCCACAAATAACCCAGAGATGCATTTTAAATAAAAGCACACATTCTATTCATGTAAAAACACGCTGATTCGCGGACTGTCCACGGATTTAGAAGGCGATTGGGCTGGCCCTGGCCTCGGGCCTTAGTTTGCCTAAAGATAAAGGGACCCCTGACCATTAGGTCCAGTCGTGGCCGATTCGGGTTGCGGCGCTCATCTTGCTTTACTGGCCGAGGGAGCCGGTGTATAGCTTCCGGGTCATGTGGCCAGCATGACTAAGCCACTTCTGGCGAACCAGAGTAGCGCATGGAAATGCCATTTACCTTCCCGCTGGAGTGGTACCTATTTATCTACTTGCACTTTGACGTGCTTTCGAACTGCTAGGTTGGCAGGAGCAGGGACTGAGCAACGGGAGCTCACCCCGTCGCGGGGATTCGAACCGCTGACGACCTGATCGTCAAGTCCTAGACTCTGTGGTTTAACCCACAGCGCCATCCGCGTCCCTACAGTTTGCCTACCCATGGTTTAAAAGGGGTAACTAACTATCTTGTCAGGAAGTCTGTTCCAGGCAGATCTGCACTACACATTTAAAGCATATTCGTTGCACATTTAAAGCACATGACTCCCCCCTGCAAAGCGTCCCCGGAACTGTACTTTGTTAAGGGTGCTGGAAAGGGTGGCTACAGGGGAAGCTACAGTTCCTGGGATTCTTTGGAAGAAGTCAATGTGCTTTCAATGTGCATTGACTATGCTTTAAATATATAGTGTGGATGTCCCCCAGGAACCAGCCTTTTAGTGTTGTGGCACCTGCCCTTGGGGATTCCTTCCCCGCGAATATCAGACCGGTGCCATCTCTGTTTCCTTTTTGGAACCTACGGAAGACCTTCCTTTTCCCAACAAGCCCTTTGAGCAGAGATCTTTCTCAGTCTGCGTGGAATTGTTTTGAGGCTGTTTTAAAGATGTTTCTATTGGTTTATTGCTTCTTGTTTGCAACCCTGTCCTCCTTGGAGAGGAAGGCCAGACTAGAAATTCAATTAAAAAGTCAGTTCAGGGAAGATGGGACTATCATGTAGGAATGTGCATAGACGTGAGGAGAAGAGATTGTTATTGGGGATTATCCTTCCTTCCTCACGTTTGTGCCATCCCTTTGCAACTTAAAGGGGAGGCGTAGAGAGGCCAGTTTTTAGCCTTTCACTTTAAGTAACCCAGGATGCTTTAGTTTTTGTATGCATAATTTTTATTAATTTGCATAATGCAAAATACAAAAACAAAATATAAAAGTTCGATTCTCATTTTCACAGGTTTTTAAGTATGGCTTCCTTCAACCTTTCCACAAATCATCCGTAATAATCTTTTATAAAAATTCGCATTTCTTAGTTTGAAATGCCATTAATCATTCTAGTTCTTCCATTTCTCTTTAGACAATACTCTTTTCTTTTACAGAGCTCCTTTAAAGCCCACTAGTGTTATCTGTCCATCACTTAAATTTTCCAGATATTTCGTAAAACTTTCCCAATCCTTAATGAACCTCTGGTCTTTTAAATATCTAATTTTCCCTGTCATCTTATCCATTTCCGCATAATCTAATAGTTTTGCTCTCCATTCCTCAATTGTCGGTAGGCCCTCTGATTTCCAATTTTGAGCTAATAAGACTCTTGCTGCCGTTGTTGCATACTGGAACAGCTTGAGATCTTTCTATTTTATCTCCCTTCCTACCAATCCCAACAGACACGCCTCGGGTATTTTAACAAAAGTATATCTTAAAAATATCTTCATTTCGTTATATACACTCTCCCAGAACCCTTTAACCTTTTGGCATTCCCACCACATATGGTAGAAGGTCCCCCCCCTTTCCTTGCACTTCCAGCATTTATTACAAGTTCCATACATTTTGGCTAATTTTGCAGGAGTCATATACCATCGGTAAAACATTTTCATTAAATTCTCCTTTAGTGTCACGTAAGCTGTAAACTTGAGATGTTTTTTCCAAAGTTTCTCCCATTCTTCAAAATATATATTATGACCGATATCTCTAGCCCAATATATCATTACCGACTTTACTTCCTCGTCTATTAAATTCCATTCCAATAACTGATTATACATTTTAGACAAAATTTTATAGTTGTTATTCAATATCTCAATCTGGAATCTAGAATCTTTATCAGCATATCCTTTGTCTTTAATATCTTTCCTGAACATTCCGTTTATCTGGAAATAGTGCAGCCAATCATAGACTTTCTCTTTGACCTGTTCAGTACGGCTTCATTTTCCACTTTCCTTCTTCTTTCATTAACAGTTGTTCATAGGTAGCCCAATTGTCCCTCATATTAATCTTTTAACGCTCATGACTTCTAGTGGCGATAGCCAATGGGGTGTTTTAGGTTCTAACATATCTCTGTTCCTCTCCCATACCTCAATCAATGGACCTCTGAAAATATGATTTTCGAAGCCCCTGTGTACTTTTCTCCTCCCATGCCATAGATAGGCGTGCCACCCAAATCTGTTGTTAAATCCCTCTAGGTCTAGCACTTCCTTATCTTCCAGTTTTATCCATGTTTTGACTCAGCATAGGCATGACGCCTCATAGTACAATTTCAAATCTGGCAGGGCAAAGCCCCCTTTCCTTCACATCTGTCAACAGTTTAAATTTTATTCTTGGTTTCTTGCCCTGCCAGACGAATTTTGAGATCACCCTCTGCCAGTCTTTAAATATCTTTATACCCTTAATTACAGGAATGTTCTGAAACAAAAACAACACTTTTGGAAGCACACACATCTTGATTGTGGCTATTCTGCCCCAAAATGACAGTTTTAGCTTGCCCCATGTTTCAATATCTTTCTTAACTCCTTTCCATACTGTCTCGTAATTATTTTTGAATAAGTCTATGTTTTTGGCGTTACCCATATTCCTAAATATTTCACCTTTCTGGCCACCTCTATTTCCGTTTCTCTTTGTAATTCTTCAGTTTTATCTGTATTCATATTCTTTACTATCATTTTTGTTTTCCTTTTATTTAATTTGAAGCCAGCCACTTTTCCGAATTGGTCAAATTCTTCGAGTACCTCTTTTATTGAATCTATTGGATCCTCCATTATTACAACCAGATCGTCTGCGAATGCCTTAATTTTGTATTCATTCTGCCCAACTGTTACTCCTTTTATCCCCTTATTTTCTCTTATTGAATTTAGGAGGACTTCTAACACCATTATAAATAACAATGGGGACAGTGGACATCCCTGTCTTGTTCCTTTTGCTATTCTTATTTCTGCTGTCTCCACATTGTTTATTATCAGTTTTGCCTTTTGTTCCGTGTAGATTGCCTTTACCCCGTTATAGAATTCAGTGCCAACCTAACCCAGGATGCTTTAAGGCAGACTAGATTCTCCTGGTATTTCACCCTTTTCTCTCCCTTAAAACAATAATCATGCAAACAATCTTGAAAAAGGTAAAAAAACAACAACCCCACGTTCATTCAGAATACTTGCTGAAGAGCCGGCACCTCCAACCCTCACCCCTCCAGATGTTTTGGACTACAATTCCCATCATCCCTGACCACTGGTCCTGTTAGCTAGGGATCATGGGAGTTGTAGGCCAAAATATCTGGAGGGCCGCAGGGTCACCGCTAGGGGTTGTGCCATGGCCCTAGTCCCCCCCCCGATCTGGGGCTTCAGACAGAGGCCACGCCCCTCGGATTGCATGCAGTTCACAACAGTGACCTGAGGAGGTTATAACTGGGCAATAGTTAGCTGCCCTGGTGTGTGGTCTGCATGCATGGATTCATGCTGTGTCTGTGTGGTGCTAATAGCTGTAATACCCCCATCTTGCCTCAGGATAAAGGCATGGGTCTTGCAATCCAGATTAGGAGTCTTTTGGAAGGGGATTCTGGGTGGCGGGAGTGTGCTAGGGTGTCCATGCACCCAGCTTAGCAAAGGACAGTCCTCTGGTTGAAGGATGACCCTTTCCACCTTTGCCCCCCACCCTGCACTCAGCTCTCTTCTGGGGCTCCTAGAAGCTGTCAGTATGTGACAGCGGCCACACCTTGGGAAATACCGTATTTTCCGCCCCATAAGACGCACCTGACCATAACACACACATAGTTTTTAGAGGAGGAAAACAAGAAAAAAAATATTCTGAACGAAACAGTGGGTGTATGATTTTTGTGGTTCATGTTGTGGCCACAGACATGTGATCTGATGGTGAATTTGGGGTGACCCAATGCAAAAATCCTGAGGATCCATGTGGATCCGTGCTTTGTAACCACATTTTTGCACCACTGCAGCCCCAGGAAACAGTGGATGCATGATTTTTTTGGTGCAGGCTGTAGACATGGACATGCTATGTGATCTGATGGTGAATTTGGGGTGGCCCAATGCAAAAATCCTGATAATCCATGGGCTTTTACCTCTCCCCTCCCAGGCAGCCTCTGCTAGCTTCCCTTATCTCTTTTCCGATCCCACTGATCAGCTGTTTCCTTCCAACATTCCCTTCCCACTTGTTTGCCTTAGTGTCTTTTCCTTAGCTGGAGCAGTTTTTTGCTCCTCCTTTTCTTCTAATTTCTCTCCTCATTGCTTTAGTCTTCCTGTTTCCCCCCTTTGCAAGTTTGCTGTCTTTACCTCCCCCCTCCCAGGCAGCC